TAAATTTTATTAAACGCAACTCGAGCGTTTCTCGAACTAACGGGCGGCTTGTTGGGGAAATTCGCATATTCGACCTGTGACTGATAATAAATCGAGTCACGTGCAAGTTCATTCGGTTCGTGACGACTTCGATTGTCATTTAAATCGCGAGGATCGATCACTAGATCCGAGGGGTACGATCGTTCGGTATAGGTTTAGGATCATTCGTCAATTCATTTCGTGGTCTGGCGGTATCACCCGCGATCCACTACTCTGACAGTGGCGAACTGACCCCTGACTATCCTTGGATCGCCCAACAGTGGCTCAAAATGTCACCTCAGCGATTTTATGGTCGAGAGTCAATTCAAGATCGAATTTTCTCTTAGTCGTACGAATTTAAATCTCCAGTCAGCCTTTCCCTAACGGTTAGTATCCCAGGAATGATCAGTTCCGGGCGAGAACTATCTACGAGTACATTTATAAAACCAAATATTTCACAAATCCCAAATGGACAAATTTTCAGGATGTCACATATCAACACTCTCAAATTTTACCAATGTGTTAAGTAAATTACCAGCATTATCAAGAATTCACCAACATACCAATCTAGTGGTTAATTACCAACTCTTAATATCAGTATTGTAAATAAATTATCAGCATTATCAAGAATTTATCAACATTAGAATAAATTAGTATATTACCATATCCGTAGAACTAGGGGTGTGCAAAAGAATTGGGAACCGCCCGGATCGCCCGGGACCGCCCAAAACCAAACCGGAACCGGTCCGGTTCCCGGTTCCAATTTTTCGGAACCGGTATGTACCGGTCTGATTCTCGGTTTCAGGTGTGAAACCGCCCACCCCCCCACCCAGACCGGATCGGTAATATAATAATAATATATAATATAATATATTTATTTAATTTTTAATTTAAAAATATCCTAAATCTCTAAACTAAACCTTACTCGCTTGACGCTCATAGCCTCACAATGAGCCGATAAACATCTTCTTTCACTTTCGCCTCACGCTCACTCTCACTCTCTAACTCTTTTCGGTTGATGCTCACCTTACCGTCTCCAACTCTCCATCTCCATCTACATCCTTGGTTGGTGGTACCGGTTCCATGGACCCACCCGAGAACCGGACCGGCGGTCCGGTCCGATTCCCGGGTGGGTCCATCGAACCAACGGGCGGTTCCCAATTTCAATTTTTTGGAACCGGTCCCTAGTGGGCGGTTCCCAGTTCTAGAATGGGAACCGCCCACCCGGACCATGCTCACCCCTACGTGGAACCAACATAAGAGATCAAATAAATAAATAAATAAATCCATATCATGTCTTCGTTTAAGAATGGATAAGAGCATAAGAAAAATCATGGGCCTCAACATATTGGCTAGTGAGAGAGAGAGAGAGAGAGAGAGAGAGAGAGAGAGAGAGAGAGAGAGAGAGAGAGAGAGAGAGAGAGAGAGAGAGAGAGATGCACATCTAGCCAACTTGTCAAGCAAAGAGGAAGGCGCGCTAAAAATAATTATTTTGCTGAAAACTTCTTGTTGCCGAATATATTTTCAGGAAATTCAATTTAAGAGAAAGTGAACATTTTTCTAGTGTTTTTTTGCGCTGAAAAATAAGTTAAAATTTGGTTTTATGCTACTTGATGATAAGTAAATCTACCGACGTGGCTTGTATAGTTAAAAATGGCATATAATGACTAACAAACTGGAATATCTTCTTTATTTATTCTGTAATTCATAAAAAAAAGAATTACAAAAGAATTTGTAAAGAAATTATGAAACCATATTTGTAGAATATTATGTATGATAGTGTTTTGTGGAAATGTTGATGAACGTGAGTATATTGTTGCTGAGCAATTTTTGGATATTAAACGGATCTCCCCATAAGGTAATTTTAATGTGGCCGATTTCCCCTCTTTTGCAATCAGTTTGCTTCAGCACCCGCTGCTGTAGCTAAGTGTCCACCCTTTCCAAGTGTGATTTCTATGTTATGTATGGCCGTGCCTAAGGGCATATCGGTTGAAGTAGATTCTTCTTTTTGATCAATCAAAATCCCGTCCCAAACAGTACAAGCTTCTTCCAAAGCATACGGCTTTCTGGATGTAAATGATGATAGCTATACAAATGGATCTTATATATTGTATAATGAAGTACTCCATGAGTGGATATATAGGAATCCAAATCTGCCGAATCACTAATGAAGTATAATCAAGAGATGGGAGACAATCTATAAGGAAAAAAAAAGATGGGAGATAGATAATAGACATAGAAGGACCAATTCTTCTCATTTGGACATATAGCAAGAAATTTGGGAAAATGTTTCCTTCTTACGAAAAGGGGGATCGTTTTTCCTAATCTAAACTTATTATTTTCAATTCATAAAAAAAAAACTTTCGATCAATCTACTAGCTTTACCTTATCCAAACGCTAGAAAGTCCAAAAATAATTTCTTGAAAATGGTTTTGCATCAGACAAACTAACCCAGGCACCTGAAGTAATACACACACTAACATGAAGAGAGAGAATGGCAGAAAAAGACACTTATGAGAAGCGACGAAACTCTTTTGTGTGTTTAAGGAAAATGATTTATAGTTTTAATTTGGAGAAAATTAACCGGAACTAATTTTATCCAAACATGAATTGTTAAGTCTTCACTGACATTTTTATAATTAAATGAAAAAAAATTGGGAATAAAAATTTTAAAGTCGTACAAAATGTATTTCTGTTCTTTTTCTATTCCGGAAATATAAATTTTGTGCAGTTATCAAATGCGTTCTTCTGCTCAGAAACTCGTAGGGAATAGAAATAGAAAATTATTTCTCAATAGAAATTATTCCCGAGAACAAAAATATTACCATATGCACCCTAAACTTGTCAAGAGGGAGTTGGTGGGGCGATTAATATAAAAAAGGATGTGCGCATGGGGTTTTCTCCGGAGACTTCTACAAGTTCACAACGTAGAAAAAGGTTTACGTTCACAAGAAAGAGAAATCCACAATACACAATACAAAAAACGCCGAAGGAGAACGACCGTGAAGGGGCAAAAGAGTTTACAATATACCGACTCTTTTTTTTCTTCCTTTGGAGGTGTTCTCGTGGCGGCTTCCTGCAGAATCCACCACGCAAGGTTTACTTTTGTCGCAACCGTGTTTGGATTACCCACAGTGACGCCAAACTCCTCACCTGCAAGTTATTGCATTCCGACGATCGCTGCTGTGTTCCCAATAGCCTGGTGATACCAGTCCTGCGAGTTGTCGTATTCATGATATTTCTAGTTCACTGAAGTAAAGTATTCTCCCATACTTTACTTGGGTTCTTAATCGACTCGTAATAGATTAGTGGCAACTCTTAATTGAATTAAATTACATGTTTAGTTGATTAAATTAAAAATCCCAAAGTTGTGATTGGTATGGGTTTAAGAGAGTCCGCGCTAAGTGTAAGCTTAATAATACATTAGCTTTCCTTTGTTGGTTCACTCAGGGATGGTCGAGACAAATATCACTAGTAAACAGATTCGTACAATCGACCGGCATACATATGTAGATACTTGACAGCTCCATATATGATATTGGTATGTTACTGATAAATATACATTGGTATCCGTAAAATCGAAACATGCTCATAATCTGCTAAGAACTTATGGTGGTAATATAGTTAACTTTTTCGAAATTAACCTTAACCTACATTGTTAGTAAAATATTTAAGCAACTCGCAACCTTATGGCTGAAAAACTCTCCCACTTGTTAAAACAAACGACTATTTTTAATCTGCAAGAATAATTCGGCCAAGTAAATCAGTTTTTTCATTAGTACGTTACTGACAAATAAACATTGCTATTCATAAAATCGAAACTATGTATAGTGGTCAAATAGTTATTTGTTCGTAAGTTACAACCGTTAACAAAGGCTACTAACAAAGCATGTAAGCAACTCGTAATCTTCTAGCAAAAGTACTCGCCCATTTATAAAAGCAAACGATTGTTTGTAAGCTACAACAGTATTTTCAAACTGGTGAATTGATTGGCTCGTTTGGTATGGTACTTACAAATAAACATCACTATTCATAAATTCAAAACAATGTTAACAACATACTTGGATTTGTAGTGGTAAAATAGTTGTATTGTTTGTAAGTTAGTACGGTTAATCGAGACTATTAATAAAGTATGTAAGCATTCGTAATCTACTAGCGAAAAAAAAAATCCACTTGTAAAATCTGAAGGAAACTATTTGGTTTGAAGATGAAAAAATTGTTATTTTATTGATAACTTACTAACAGTTGACCAAACAAATAGGGTATCGGATAATTTTTACTTACCGGTGATACTTCAAGTTTATTATTGGTTCTTTGAATTTACCATGCACGGAACAAAACTACATTTTTGGCAAAAGGAATTTTAGAAACGTGCAAGATTTTAAACTACAACTATCCCATCAAACGAATAGCTCCGGTTAATTCTTTGATCCAATCTAAATAGAGTGGAGGTCAGATCTGCAGAAGTGATATAAAGAAGAAACAATTTATGTTGTCGAGATCTGAGAAGAGTCAAACTTCACTTTTCAAAAAGAATGCTCTGCACCGTGCTATGTCAAATGAGAACACATACACGTCTCCCCTTGAGATTTTAAACTCCTAGGGAATAATTTTTGTTCAAAGAGTCGAACTTTTCATTTTTAAATGAAAAGTTTGTACTGTGCTGTGTTCACGTTCTCAACTTGAGATTTAAAACTCCTAAGGTGTTAAAACTCCCCTCGAGATTTAATGCTCTTATGTTCACGTGCATTGTCAGCTTTGACAGGCTGGAGTGATGCGGCAATGAATCATTCTTATTAAACAATTAAAGCAAACTGGCCCACGACTCTCTGCACATTTACCTAATCCTGTCTACTAAGTCTAATGACCTACAGAGATCTCCATTTGTAATTCTGGCGTCTAAACTTTTTCATTTCTGGCTGCCACTGCTTTCGTTGCTATCCCGTTCAGTTTTTCCTTGAAGAGAAGATCAAGTGAGATCAATGGAGAGGAGTGCAAAAAAACAATGCATCCGTCAAAAAGATGGAATAGCACGAGGTGCTTCTGGTGTTCACACTTCAACAGAAAGTCACGGAATGGATAATTCATCAGGATTTGACTATGAAGTATTCTTGAGCTTTAAAGGACCAGATACTCGAGCAACTTTTACCGACCATCTTTACACCAGTCTTAAAGATGCAGGAATCCGCACATTTAAGGACGACGAAGATCTCCGCGAAGGGGAAGAGTTTGCACCAGAACTTCTCCACGCAATTAAGCAGTCGAAGATCTTAGTACCTATATTTTCGAAAGATTATGCCACTAGTGTGTGGTGTCTCAAGGAGGTAGTCCAAATGGTCGAGTGCAAGAAAACTGGGGGACAAAAGATCATCCCTATTTTTTATGATGTGGTGCCTGCAGAGGTTCGGTACCAAACAGGGAATTATAAAAACGCCTTTCTTTTACATGAAAGCAAGAACCGATATGCCCAAAAGACTATCGGAGAGTGGAAGGCTGCTCTCAGTGCAGTTGGGGAAATAAACGGATGCGACCTGCAAAGCAAGCCCATCAGGTGACTGATTTTAGCATTTCATCTCATGTGCCTTGTATCGTTAAATTTCGTTGCATTTCAATTGGTTTCTTTTCCAGATTTGTGTTAGTCTTGTTGAAATTGAATTGTATGCAATTGAAGTTATACCGCAAAGTCAGTCACAATAAATAATGGCACAATCCCAATTTTGTCCCATTTCATTCCCAGCAATATTTTTTGTCAGTTCAGGTCATTCATTAACCCTAAGTTCCACCGCCAATTCATCTAAATGGAATAAATTGTTAAAGAACACATTTATAATAGGTTTGTAGTTTTCAATTTGGTCTTGTCAGAACATTGTTTGGTTCAACTCAGTTTTCTAACTCATTGCTTTTTGACCTCCAACAAACACTAGGCGAGAAAGTGAGTTCGTGAAAACATTCACACATACGGTTTTCAATGAGTTGAAAAAGGCTTCTCTGGTAGTATCAAATTACTTGGTCGGTATCGACCACCATGTGGATAAAATCATGGATTTGATAGGTGCTTGGACAAGTGAAACACGGATTATAGGAATCCATGGGATGGGTGGCATCGGAAAGACAACTATTGCCAAAATCATCTACAATCAGCTTTCAAAAAAGTTCAATAATTGTTGCTTTCTTTCCAACATCAGTGAAATGTCAAAAACCAAGGGCATTGAATGCTTGCAGAATCAGCTCATCTCTGACATCCTCAAAACGGAGTGGAAAAACATAAGAAACTGTGATGAAGGGACTCAGACAATTAGAAACAAGTTGTCTCATAAAAAAATCCTCCTCCTTCTCGATGATGTGGAAGAAAAGGATCATATAGATGCACTTGTAGGTAAGCGTGATTGGTTTGGTGAAGGGAGCAAAATAATTATTACTACTAGAAAGAAAGATGTTCTCCGTGTTCTGGAAGTGGACCAGAGGTATGAGCTTACGGGCATGGATCGTGATAAATCTCTTCAACTTTTTAGCAAACATGCCTTCAGAAGAGATTCTCCTTTAGAAGAGTATATCAACCAATCCAACAGGGCGATAGACATTGCTGGAGGTCTTCCCCTAGCTCTTGAGGTCATAGGTTCACTATTATCCAGCACAAATAAGGAAATGTGGGATACCAAATTGAAGATGCTTGAAAGTGTTCCTCAAGATAAAGTCGGTAGTAAGCTGAAAATAAGTTATAATGCACTAAATTATCGGCAGAAGCATATATTCCTCGATATAGCTTGTCTTTTCATTGGATATGACAAAGACATTGTAGTTCATTTCTGGGATGCATCTGAACTTTTTTCGGAAGTAGCCTTGGAAGGTTTGCAGAACATGTCTTTGATAAAGATTGAAAAGGACAATAAAGTGTGGATGCATGACCAACTTAGAAATCTCGGAAGAGAAATAGTTCGTGAAGAAAGTAAGATGAAAATAGAGAAGACAAGTAGGGTGTGGAATCCTAAGGAAGCATTGGATTTGCTGAGGACACATAAGGTAAAATTGCTCCTGCAATAAATTTCCAGAACATTATGGATATTTTCTTTAAAAAAAAAACCAGTTACTTTTTGTGTTCTGTAGCACCATTGTGACCTACTCCACCAATAATATTTGCGCTTTAAGATTAAAGGAATGATAGTACTCAACTCAACCCCTTAAGATAGTGAACCTGAATAAATGTGCTTCCCTTCAACTTTTTTGTTTTTAAATGTTTCCTTTGGGCAGGGAGAAAAAGAAGTTGAAGCTCTTCGTCTCAAGTTTGACAATCAGCACAATTTTTCCTATAAGGACTTTGAGAGCCTGTCAAATCTAAAGTTCCTTGAAGTTGACGGTTTGAAGGAAAATTTTCGTGCAGAAAAGGCGCTTCTTTGGCACACATGGCTATCAAATCTTCTTCCAACTAATGTTTCCCAGAAGAATTCAAATCTCCTTCCCCAATTACGGGGGCTTTCTTGGCATGATATTCCCCCAATATTTAAGATTACAAATTTCTTCATGGAGCATGTGGTTATTCTTGATCTATCTCAGAGTAAAATTACACATGATTGGAAGGGGTGGAACCATATGAAGGTATCTTACATGCTAGACAACACTTATTATTCCGTCTAATTAGATTCGAAAGTAATCTTTGCATGATTTTTCTTTTATAGGTGATGAAGAGTTTGAAAGTTCTGGATTTGTCCAATTGCAATTGCTTGAAGAGAACTCCCAGCTTCTCTGCTCATTCAAATTTAGAGCGTTTGATTCTACGGGGCTGTGAATCATTAACTGAAATTGGTGGGTCGATTTGTCATTTGAAAAGCTTAGTTTCCTTTGATGCAAGCAAATGTGAGAATCTTCGGAAGCTGCCAGATGAGCTGGGTAAAGATCTTGCAAGCCTTAAATACCTCTCTCTGAAATGGTGCAAATCGTTGGAGAGGCTTCCGAATTCAATTAGGAATTTGAAATCGCTGATTGAGTTGGATATAACCTGCACAGCAATCAAAGAACTACCCGATTCCATTGGAGATTTGAAAAAGTTGAAAGTAGTGAAGATGAGGCATAGTAGCATAAGCAAAATACCCGAAGCCTTTTGGACGATTGAGAAGCTCGAAGAAATAGAAGCCTTCAAATTATATGGTAATTTCCATATGGAAATTGGCAAGTGCATCTACAATAATAAATCCCTGAGGATCTTGAGAGTGAAGCGGGCTGATATATACACACTACCGAGGCTTCCTGAAAGTCTTATCAAATTACGATTGTCTATGTTGTACATGGACACATTTCCAGATCTCTCAAACCTCATTAATTTAAAGAAATTGAATTTGGAATTTGGCCTACTTGATGATGATGGGCTTGTGGATGATTCAATACCACGGTGGATTGCGAACTTAAGCAAACTAGAGTCTTTGAAACTGGACTCTCATTATGTGACCACCGTATCCAAAAACCTTAGCCTCCTTCCTCAACTCAAGGCACTTCGCCTTCGGTGCACTAATGTGCCTTGCCCCCAGAGGCTTCCCTCAAGTTTATTGGACGATCACAAGTCACTTTGCTCGATGGATCTATCAAATTTGAAGAAACTATCATCCCTCGAGATTTCGGATGCTCAAATTGCAAAGATTCAAGGCCTTGGTTGTTTGGAGAACCTACGAGATTTGGAGCTTCATCGCCTTAGACAGGTGGAGATACTACCTGATCTAAGCAATTTAAACAAACTAAGACGTCTTGAAGTAGAAGATTGTGATAAGCTGGTTGAGATTCAAGGCGAACTACCACGGTTTTTGGATATATTGTTTATTTCTTCATGTCAGTCTTTACAGAAGTTGCCTGATCTGTCAAGCTTGATAGGACGGCAAGTGGTTCAAAAACAGTATTGCAGTGAATCAAAAGTGGAGGAAATTCTTGTATTTTCCCGGAAAAATCGACAACATTTGGAGCTTGTAGGCTTTAAACAGCTGCAAATCCTACCTGATCTAAGTAATTCAGACGAACTAACAATTCTTCAAGTAAGAAGTTGTCCTAATCTGGTTGAGATTCAAGGTGCACTGCCACAATCTTTGGAAATATTGGAGATTTCTTCCTGTGAATCTTTACAGAAGTTGCCTGATCTGTCCAACTTGAAGGAACTGCGACAGGTTGACATAGAAGGTTGCACGAAATTAAATGGGGAGACCATTCTAGGCTCTGCTCGGAGAAGTCAGGCGAATTTGTGGGAGAATCTACTATATTTGCGGATTTGTGGCCTTGGACAGATGGAGATACTACCCGATCTAAGTAATTTAAGCAAACTAAGATGTCTTCAAGTAGAAAATTGTGGTAATCTGGTTGAGATTCAAGGTAATCTACCACAATCTTTGAAAGAGTTGAATATTTATTCCTGTGATTCTTTACAAAAGTGGCCTGATCTGTCAAGTGTGAAGGTGAAGAGACTGCGAAAGGATAAAACAAATTGTTTAGAGAAATTAAATGTAGACGCAATCTCTTGACTTTACTCGGAGAAGTTAGTCGAATTTGTGGGATAACACGACGAATCTGAATATGAGGGAGAAGAGGATGAAAAAGTGCACCTTGCACTTGAAAGCTTCTTGATCCACGACCACAAATTGTTCCCTTGTGTTCAAACTTTAGACAAATTGAGGTAAGTTATTTCATTTGACAACCAATATTTTCCTTTTTTTGCAATCAAATTCTTTCATAGATATGAACATATATGTTGTACGTGCACTTTTTAACGAGTTCATGTCTGAAAATTTGAAGAAGTATTGAAATTATGATACGTCCGAACAACCATAGGGTTCTTAATTATGTACAAATATTTGTATTCTTTTCCTAGTTTGGTTTGGCTTTTTAGCTATATTTTCTTTGGACGATTTCTTCTTGCTTTTTTGTTTCCCAGTTGGAGGTATGCATGTCTACAGAGAGAGAGAGAGAGAGAGAGAGAGAGAGAGAGAGAGAGAGAGAGAGAGAGAGAGAGAGAGAGAGAGAGAGGGACAATAATTTGTTTGTTTGTTGGTGCAGAGAGAGACAGAGGGAAGGTGGAGGAGAGAGCTTGACCTGTTTGAAGGAAAGGTGAGCTGTATTCTTCTTTAATACCTATAACGCAATATGATGCTCCTGACTCGATGGACCCTCTCTGTGCATGGCATATGCGCCGTTCCCACAAGCGAATATTACCATTTTACTGTTCCATGTTTCTCTTAGCTGACGAGAGGCGGCCTTGGGCTAGAACATTGCGGGTGGTTCCGACAATGCATGGGGACTGGCAGGACAGAAGCTGGGTGCGAGAGCAATGGCGAGCTGCGGCGGGTGAAGCAGCGGCGAAAGAGAAGGCGTGGCTGTGGCAGACATGGAGAAGGTAGCGACGCAGACAAAAGCTCTCCTTGCTCGCATGAAATACTTCCTCTTTTACGCCCTATCTTCTGCGTATTTCCTTTTTCTAGCTTTCTTTTGGCATTTTCCGTCAGTCCATCCTCTCAAAGGGAAGAAGAAGAAGAAAAAAGAAAGAAGGAGGAAACCCGAACCGAACCGTGTCTTTGGTTTGGGTCAAAACATGCACACATCCCATACATATAACTATGGTTCTCATCTTGGAACTTTACAGCATAATCAACTCATTGTTGCCACTGTGAAGTAGACAGACCCTCTGTATTGATATGCTCAAGTTCAGTTTACTTTCCGGGAATGGTGTGCTTCTTAGTGGGATTTGCAAATGTTGTGGAGAAGTTATAAAATGAAGAATAGATGAATTTCACTTGGGTAACGGCGTCAATAGTTGTTGCAGAGCAACTTCCATCTGTGACAGGAGAGGAGAACTATTTAGCTTCTCAAAGGTATCATAAATCATCTTGTAGGTAAGTTTAACTTTCAATACTATCGGTGCGAAGGACATATGATGAGTCTCATTTGGGGTTAGAAATCATGTAAAAGGACTTTTGTGTGATCTCGATTATTGCCTACATTTTCTAGAAATAGTTATTCCTATGTGATAATCTGTAATATAAGCCCTTCCATTCTCCTCAAGTTATACTAGAGGACTCTTTTAGGTTTTAAGATTGACAAGAAGTGCTAAGGGAGACATCTCAAGTGACTGCCTTTTTGCCGGTTTCTAATGTTGCTGAGAGGAATTAAAGTTTGAGAAACTTACAGAAATCTTTTTGTGCATGGAGCTGATGCTAATTGGGCAACTATACAATTAAAGACCGAACAAAGGAAAATGAAGACGACATTTAGTGTCGACTAAATTCCCTTTCATAGTCTTGGGGTGGTAAACTGTGCATTCATCTGCTGAGAGACAGAAACTTGAAATTTAGTACGGGAAGTCATTGCCTATTGATGAAATCATTAAATTTGTTGAACTCAATGTGAAGTTTCAGTTGAATGGTTCACCCTTTTTTCAGAGAAATCATTAGAGCAGAGCAAAGGAATTCATTGTGCGATTTGGGCCACCATACGTAATGTTTATGGGGGTAAAGGGCTATTTAGGCATACCTGATTGTATTTCTTTTTTCATTTTTTTTGTGGGGCCATTAAAATGAATATTGCATTTCATTTGACATGCAATAGAACTTGCCCATTAGTGCCCAAATATTCTTTTATGAGGAAACACTTGAAGGGCTTGTCTTGAGGGGAGAAAAATTGTGCGCGCTTAAAGTAGTGTTCAAGGTAGTCTGAGTTGCACTTGCCTAAACCAGTTCATGGACCTACAATAAGCATTTCTTGAATTCATGGAATGGGCAGTGTTGTAAAGTATGATAGGCTCTCTCAATACGTGAAACACGAATTGTTGGAATTCATGGAATGGGCGGTGTTGTAATGTCGACTCTTGCCAAAATTATCCACAATCAGCTTTTGCATGGTTTTGAGCACTGTTGCTTTCTTTCTAACATCCGTGATACTTCAGAGCTCAAGGGCATTCAGTACTTGTTGAATCAACTCATCTCCTATGTCCTCAAAAGGAATGTGCTCATGGGTAACATCTAAGATATTTAGGTATTACTGAATTCTTCATTGCCCATGTGGATTGGAGCTCTTAAAAGCCTTAAATACTTGTCTTTGAAGAATGTAGATGTATAGAGAGGCTTCCGGACTCAATTGGCAATCTGCAATCACTAACTTCAGTTTGATATCTCCTACATGTGCATTAAAGAGCTACTTGACTCAATGGGAAACTTAAAAAGTTTGAAACTAGTGAGGACGTATGATTGTTCCATGGGTTAATACCACGAAAAACCCCAAACTGGTACACCTGTGAAAAATTTACCCCAAATAAATTTTTTGACCACTAAAAACCCTAAACTGGTACACCTGTGACAAATTTACCCCAAACTAATTTTTTGACCACTAAAAACCCCAAACTGGTACTCTTGTGACAAATTTACCTTTCGTTAAATTGGATTAATACCACAATTTGGTAAATCTATGACAAACAGAGGTATAAAAACTTAAACTAGCATACCCATTAACTACCACATGTCATCCAACTTAGTAATTTGGCAGTAAAATTTAACGGAAACTAATGAAGGGTAAATTTATCACAGGTGTACCAGTTTGGGGTTTTTGGTGATAAAAAAATTAGTTTGGGATAAATTTGTCACAGGAGTATTAGTTTAGGATTTTTCATTGTATTAACCCTTGTTCTATTGGAAACATACCTACTATAATATATGGGTTTTCAAGAAAAAAAAAAGGAAAAAGTTGAAAAGTCAAAAAGCAGCAACAGTGGATGCTCAGCTCCTTTCTTTTTAACCGAGAGCTTGTGTAGAGCAGGGGAGAGAGAAGAGGAAAGAAAAACAAAGAAAGGGAAAGAAAGAAAAGGAGGAAGAAGAAAGAGGAAGGGTTCACGTCACGGGAGCCTCACCAGACCGGAGTTACTTCGTATTGCAACGCCCGGTAAGTAATCGTGCCCCTCATTCATTCAATCGAAGTACTTTTCGGAATTAGGGCATAATTTCGGAGTTTGATGAAATTCAAGCCGCGAAGTCTGATTTCTAAGTTGTCGAGCTGCATATATATATAGAAATGACAGTTTCGAGTGTTGTAGGGCTGTGGGATTTTATGGATCTCGACTTGGATTTACGGTTTGCCTGAAACAAAATTTTCAAGTTGGCCGCAAGTGATGAACAGTGTGCGACAACAGATTTCCATGTCGATTTTTGTTGCTTTTTGGCCCGATTTTGGGTCGTCCAAGTGGGGGTCTTGTAATTCTTTGAATGGGTTTTCTTTTGACTGTAAGCTCGCTTGAAACGGGGTTCAATGGAAAGGGTTATGGCACGACCAAGTTTCACACTCAAGCTCCGCATTGCAGACGGTATTGGATAATCGCTTTGGACGAGCGATTTGTGGGCACCTTTGTGACATTCTGAAATTCGACTCATTTCGGAATTTATGAAATGAATATTTCTTCGATGCACTTTCAGTAAAATCTCACTCGGAAATTGATCACTCTCGAGATACTAACCGTTAGGGAAAGACTAGCTAGGAATTATGTACGTGGACCTAAGAACTTGATCATGGATTGGCACTTCGATCATAAGATTGACGAGGGAATATTTTGTACCATTATAGACCGATCCAAGGATGGCTATGGAACGATTCGCAAATCTTATACGATCGGAACGCGGGTGATTCCGCTTAACCATTGTATGAGTTTCGAACGATCCTAAACCTAATCCGAAAGATCGTGTCCTTCGGAACTAGTGATTGACCCTCGCAATTACATGACAATTGAGATCGCCATGGCTCAAGTAAACTTAGATGTGGCTCGATGTCATCGGCCACGTGTCGATACGCGTAACTCCTAAAAGCCGCTCGTTAGTTTGAGATACACTAAAGTCGCGATTGTTGGATTTTGGCCATTAATTAGAATCCGAATTGGGATGTCGAATTTTCAAGATTTCCATGACTAATTTATCGGACGTCGTCTCATTTAGCGTGGCCAACTACCGGATCGATTAGAATTATGGGAAAATCGAAATTTGGACCGGAGTGGAAAAAGACCATTTTGCCCCTGGGTTAATTGAGCACTTTTGAAATATTGAAGGGCAATTCGGACAATTGCATTTCCCTCCATAAGCAAAAATTTGGACAAGAATGCCCCCTCTCCTTTTTGCTTATTCCTTAATTGCCCTAGGATAGTTTCCCCATCTTGCATTAGAAGACTCAATTGTGGCCCTTAGATGTCTTGATTTAATTGTGGTTCAATCTTGGTCATTGATAGGCTTTTAGAAGTCATCTCACATCACCCTTGTCTATCACTCTCACCCTCACTCTTGTCACTCTCTCTCTCTCTTCTCATTCCCGGAATTCTCTCTCTCTCTCCCTCTCTCTCTCTTCTCCTTCCCAGAGCTCTCTATCTCTCCCTCCTTGGAATCGGCCGAAGCTCCAAGCACCATCACCTCCACCTTGCTTCTCCGGTTCAGACGCCACCGGACTCGTCGCCTGAATCGCCGGTCAACCACCCGTCCGACCGCCGGAGTGCCTACTGTTC